TTATAAATCTTTATATTAGATTTATACCCACCATAGACACGTTTTTGAATTCATTACTATAAACTCGCTAATGAAATTTATGAATATGCGGATACACAAATAATGTATTTTTTTAAAATATTGGTTCTCACTACCTTTACCATTATCAAATAAGTGTTTTGTAAGACTATGGTGAATCTCGCAAGCCGGAAAAATGTTATTTTTTAATTAATACCATCATATATTTCATCACGACATTCTACGTTCATTGAAAAGGAGTGCAGGACGACTGGTCACACGGCTCACGCGTGCAAGACTGAAACTCACGTAAGAATACTCGTATTTTCGTGTAATTTTAACACTTCTGGAGACGAGCAATTTGCCAACACCGAGGTCGTGAGTGGTACAAATGTATCAAACATCGAAAAATATAGTTATAGGTTGTAGTACTATCCACGTAACTACCTCTACAAGAATGTTTTGAGTAAAATCCGTATGGGACTCACATAACGAGATTTGAAGAACCTCTAAATTTTGTTGCTACCTATCTTAATTCCCATTTTTATTAACTGCACACTCAAAGGCGTCTTAACCAGAGAAGAGAGACTAGTATAGAAGTCCAATGCTGGGTTAATAATCCGGACTTCGTTTCGGAAAACATGTCGGTAAATCTCGAAACTTCTGTCATCCGACCGGTAGTTGTGCTTCGGAAAATCAACCGTTTTTTTTTTTCTTTACAAACTTGGCTTACAACAGCAAAGTAAAAAGACTTATGCGTTCTATGATCCCACCACTTCTACTATCTACCCTTGCCATTACTGCGTTCACTCTTTGCTCCGACTCAATACAGCGTTGAGGCGCTCATTTTCATAGCAACGCCATCTCCTGGTTCTATTTAGAATTTCTTACTCACGTTTTAGTCCTCCATTTGAATTGGACTTCTATACTAGTCTGTCTTCTCTGGTCGTAACGGTCTTTATCTTTCAATGTCAGTTTGCTTTTATTATTGTTTTACTAAAAAATATAGATCATAGGCAATATTGAAAAAAGTTCCTCGATACTATTGGGCAACCCCTATGTTGAGTACTTAACACTGTCCCAGGAGTGAGATTTGTGAATTGAGTAGGGAACCTTCAGAAGCTTACGGAATGAATATAATCTATATATATATATAATACGGTGGGAGAGCCCGACACGACGCATCCCAATGACTGATAACAAACGTCCTACAGATATACAGAATAATTGTAAATAAGTCTTAGTCAAATAAATGTCTGTGGGTCAATGCAAAACATGCGGCTGACTGTAGAAACCCCTGATCGTCATCCAGAGTAATCTTTACAAGGAGAAGTACAGTTCTACAGCACCTAAAAATCGCAACATAAAATGTTCAAGTCATGCATAAAAGTGGTCAGATACACCAAATGGTGGAAATGATTACCCGATTATCAATAAGTTCTAAGAGGAATCAGCAAAACACGTTCACCTAACTCGAGACAAAATATGATGGCTAATTTAAACGTTTATATACCATGACTAATCTCAAAAGTTATATTTCACCCACTAGCATAGTTTGTGCAAACATAGAAGCCGTAGGCCGAATCAAATTATAATATTATGGCATTATTTAGACGAAAGAACACGTTTTGTATTTTATTAACCACTTGTAATAGTTTTAATACTTTTTCAGGAGTTTTTTCGAATATTGTAAAATAGAATAATGATTTATAAGGCACCTTAGTAAAATATCACTATATTAAGGTTAACGGTTCTGTTGAATCTAAGATGCAGAATTAGATTCAGTAAGGATTTATTATCGTCTTCTAACTTTGTCACTAAACAAAGTCTGGACCATTCTCTTTATTAGTGAAGACGTCAGTCATACAACAAAATAATAATAAAAATCGTGCTTACAAGCTTCTACAGGGAATATGCAAGTAGTGTAATATTAATGAAATTTATACATATATACATTGATTATTATCAATTTTTTTGAACTTTAATAATCATATTATCAATCCCAATACAAATGGATATATTTCACGATCTATTTTGACAAATAATCCCCTACAACTTCAGTGATCCTCACAGTTATAGTGTATCCAGACTGACGAAGTCCTTAACCAGTCTTGCTCTCGATCAGATCCTTGAGGCAGTTCAATAAGTCGAAAAAAGTTAATTTAACAAAATTTGAAGTATTTATATCAATCTTATCGCCTTTAAAATTCTCCCAATTTGTGATAATTCACTTATCTCATCTCTGGTTCTATTGCTCATAAAGTCCGTTTAAAGTTTCAGAAGTCAAACTAATTATCTTTCCTGTCGATTTACCTCTTATTGTCTCTTTATTCTTTAGTATTACTTTACTTTTTGATTTAAACTCGTTGTCATACCCGTACAATAGCAATTCACCACCATCAGTGGACGCCTCTTCAAGGAAAAGACGTTCGGGCAACATTTTCCCAGTTGATACGGTAATCAGTTACTACTTCTCAGCTTTTGCCCAGGTGTCAACAAGTTTTTCAACGATTCTTTCACAAAATTTTCTTAATCCAAACATTAATCTAATAGAACTATGTGCACAGACAGCTTTTCTAAAGCTCGTCAGCAACCATCCGGACAATGGAAAGTAAGAAATTACTAAAATCGAGAAGTAAGAAACTACTCACGTTCAGCGTTTTCATTAACACAGGATATCGATGGCATTGCATAAACTTTGCAAGGCTCTTACCACTTCATCATCATCATAAGTTCTTCAGTCCGAAGACTGATTGGACACGCACCTCAATTTCTCAATATTTTGAGCTAATCTTCGCATTTCTCTAAAATTAGAGCAACTTACATCTCTAACTATTTGCGAATACTAATTTAATCTAGGTTTACTTCCCCCCCCCCCTCTTAACTCCTATTTCTGTTTCTAATATGTCTCTCACTAACCCTTCATATGTAAGAAGGTGTCCTACCAACCTGTCTCGCCTATTTCTAACTGACTTTCGTAATGTCCTCTATTCTCCTACTGTTGCTAATGCCTCTTATTTCCGAAGTTGCTACCTTCATTGGAAAATTGCAATAAACCTACACATTTGTTCGAAGATAGCGAACCGACTATAATTCAAAAAAAACATTCATTTGAAAGGTCAAACATACAATAAGTGCTTATGTAGGTAGTAGTCAGGGGCGGTAAAATATGCTTATCCCCGCTGGGTAGTTAGATAGAGATGGTTCCCTCCCTCATCCCTCTATGTTTTACTTTTAGACATGTGTAGATATAAAATACGTAATTTCCAACCAACCCTTAGTGGTGAATATCCAGATTTAATTTTTTGTTATAATGTCGATTTCATAACCTTCAGCTTCCGTGATAATATTTCAATGGCATCTACTTTCAGGTTAAAATCTACTGGACTCTCTTCTCCTTTTAATGGTAGTGTACTGAGCGAATAATCCACTTGAATCGTCTTGTTTTCTGTAGTGCATTGCCTCAGTTAACCCTTTCAACATTCTATTAACTTCCTGGGTTTTTCCCTAGTTTAGCGATGTAGAGTATTTTCTCTGTAGACTCATTGTTGATCTTACAGTTGCGGTTTGTTCATAAGAGCTGCGGAGGAGCAAACCACGTATAGTTTCCTAGATAAAACTTTATTGATATTGTCTTGTGACTTCCCGCTCGTACTGGTTTACAGTGAGTATGTGCTTAGCTGAAGCTAAGGAGGTTTCGACGAAACTTTGAATACAAGATGTTTAAATATATACTTGCAAAACGTGAAAGTCATCGGAAGAATATTGTAAGAGATATTATACAAAAAATTTAACCTGCATTCTTATGAGATTGATTAATTTCGAGACATAACAGAAGTATTGTGGCAAAGAGATTTTGATGCAAATTTGAGCATACATTCTTTATCATTTATTTACGATGATATCTGTGAAAATTGAGTCCACTCGTACTCACAAATACCAACATGTATACTTTAATCGAACTATTTCGTTACGGAATATTCTCAATTATACAGCTGCCAGAAATTGAAATTAAATACATGATTAGCAAGTACACTGAGAGAAATGAAATAGTTTAATTGACTATGCTGTGTTAATTTTCCATTCAACATTTCATAGTATAGAAAGAACTCAACTAAGAGTCGTTAAATGTGAAATTAACATAGCATAGTAAATCCAACGATTTTAATTTTTTTCTGCGTATATAAGCGCTACTTAGCAGATAGTGTACAAAAATGTATAATTTGAAAAAAGTTTTTCTATCAGCAGACACTCATCCTTTCTCTGCGCTTTTCTACCGCTTGCTTAATTCTTCACTTGCACATGATGTATTTATATTTGTTTTTCAACCAAAATGTACCTAATTATGGCGTCGGTATATCTACTGGTAAAAAGCTTAACATCGTCTTTAACTAAAATTCTGTCTAACGTCATGTTCTTCAAGACCTGGAGAATTACTAATCCGAAAAAACATTCGACAATGATGACTTCTGAGACTGATGTCCTTAATCATTTCAATAAGATTTTTAATAACATCATCAGCCATTATTAACTTCCACGTAACCGCTTTTTATTTTTTTATATTTTTTAAATAAACTAGTCTAAGCTTTATATTTTTGACAGAAGAAAATATGTATCTAATCTTACAATAAGAAGTAAGAAACTCTTTAGTTAGTATTATATTATTGCAAAAAACTGACAATGTTCTCAATTTAAAAAAAGATTCTACAAAAAGCAGACTTATCTTTAATCTAGAAAGGTCTTTTGTACGATTGTGCCTTTTCAAAAAGTTAATCTTATCTTCTGTTCAATTCCATTCCATTTTACTTATCATCCTAAATAGTATTCCACGTCAACCAATGAATTCTGGAAATCAAAGCAAGCACGTGAACGAAAATAAAAAGAAGAAAAAGAAAAAACAGGCTGTTCAGTAATAAAACATCAATTTGTTGCTCAACTGATCCGATTCGACGACCGATTTTACGTGGATAGATAGTCAGTTAATTTTCTAGGCCCGGTCCTGCCAGGTCGATAGCTGATGAAGTCGCTTGCGCATTGCAGGCACCAACACCGTGGTGATGGCACTCCAATGCTCCAGCCGTTCTGCAGGAGTTGCTAGATAAACACGGGCAACGTGAGGAACATGACTCCAGCGACAACTGCAATTGCTCTGATTTCGTCATCGTCTAACCCAAAAGCAGCAGAACAGCATCGGCTTCGAAGAAGATCTGAACCGTTACTTCTTACTTCACGAATTTTCGTTAAAGAATCCCGGGGACCAATGTGCACTAAATAGCTCGCTGTAGAAGAGCTACATGAATTGAAAAAGATGCCATGACTCGAGAAATTTACAGCCACAAGGTTAGTAATTGTATTATATTAATTACTAATTATTATTGCAATTAGTGGAAACCTGTAAAGAAGTTATTTATTTAATATTTTTGCAATGTACACCGTGCCTTGGAAGTAATGGATAATCTCATAAGTGCGTATGAAGGATATCAAGATCATCCAGAAAATTGAATTTTGTATTTATAAAAAGTCCTACGATTTTCGAATAATTTGGACTACTTTATATTTTGAAAATTTTGACATCATAAGCAAGATTTCAAACACCACAATTACAAGCGGAGATTTTTTCTTTATTGTTCATAAAAAGTTATATTATGTGATGGATTTACGCTTAGGCTCATGAGACCGGGGCGGCAAAATTTTTGAGTCAAAATTTTAAAAACAAAAAAATTCAAATGCAATCCGAATTCAAAAATTGATTAGATTATAGTCTTGATACATTTTCAACAAAATATATTCAATAATCTAATGATTGAGTTTTCTTTTTAATTTATTAATGTTAATTTTTTAATAGTTCAAGTGGCTTTTACCAATATTAGTTTTTATCAAACAATACTAAAAAAGAAATTGTGAATTTTCAGAAAAATTTTTTGAACACAGTCATGTTCCTCAATGTTTTTTTTTTATAATTTTTGTATTTTCGGCAAAATTAATCCCATTATGCAATGTACTACCCTGAAACAACTTTTATATTTGTTATTAATATTAATTAAAAGTCAGGTAAGGTGTCAGAACTTTTTTGGCTGGAAAAACTGAATTCGGAAAAGAAAGTGATCGGAGTCAGGTAGAAGAAACTGATTCCTTAAGTGATAATTTAAATAAAGAAGCAATTTATGGTCATATTATCAAGGGACAAACTAAGGATGCCAATTTTTCAAATTACTCCAAAAACCATAAAACATTTAGCAAACATAAAATCCATTTTTCTGAAAGTTCTTAGGGTTCCTACATAAGCAATTAACATGTTGTCTATTCCTAATATGAAGCGACCTTAGTTAGACTAAAAATTTTATCATCAAGAATAGAATAAAAGTGAAAGCTAGCACTCTATTTTTCACAAATTTACGAATGAAACGAAGAGACTGTAAAAGTTCGGAGCTTAAGAATTCTGAAACTCATTTAACTCCGAGTTTCCATGAAAATAATAAATTATGACTGTAACTGACGGTTAAGTTGTCTTAATAGTCAGGCGGTCATTAAAGTGTAATTTCATGTTGTAGTCGGTAGAAGTAATTTTCACTACAGATTAGACTATGTAACTGCTTTTAATGTTCTGATGAAGTTTTTCAAAAGGATTCAGAACTGGAGCACTTCGGAGATATGCAACTATTATTCTTGCAAGCAATTTAAGAATCCATTTACGAGTCATAATTAAATAAGTTTCATGGAACTTTTTTTGTTACAATGTTACAAAAAAATAACATAATAATAAATGGTTAAAAATAGTATTGAAGATAAAATTTTCAAATTAATTATTTTACATATATATTACGTTGTAATATCTTTTCCAAAATATTCTTTTATAGAAGAACTAGCGACCCGCCCCAGCTTCGTACCGGTGCAATGCTGATACTAAATATGTATATTTTTGTTTTGTTTAGATTGTTATCGAGAAGGGGAAATCTTCAAAAGGTACCCCCTGAACATACTAAATATACTACAGAATGTCTTTATATACAACATTCACAGTTTTTTTGTCATTAGACAATATAAACCGGCCTCCCGGCCGGTACCGCCGCAACTGCTATGTCCCTGCAGTTTAAATCTGTAATATCTTCGAAAATATTCATTTAAATTACATGCTGTAAGGGCAATATTGATCTATATTAAATGCACAATGTATTTAACGTACTTAATTGGATAAGAATTAATGCTGTATTGCTTACAATCGCTTCGTAAATAAGTCATTATTTCTCATAAAAAGTAAAGGATAAAAATGGTTATTGTGGGTTATCCCTAAGAGATAAACATATACCATCGCGGACTTTTTTGTAGACCCTTTTATGTACAATATTGTAGTACATTATTTTGATCTATCTCGTAGGGTTCAGCCAGCGTTTGCAATGTAAGCCCAAAAAATGTGTTTATTTACGACATCACATTAGAAACCTCTAAAATTATCAGTGTTTCCCTACTATATTATGCATGTATTATACATATAAACCTTTCTTTTGAATCACTCTATCTTTTAAAAGAACTGGATCAAAATCCGTTGCGTATTTTTAATGATTTAAGCAAACATAGGGACAGACAGCGGGAAAGCGACTTTGTTTTATACTATTTAGTGATGATAAATGTTATTCCTTTAGAATTTTCGAAAAAATAAATTCTAATAACAGATCAAAACCAAAAGTACAAAAATTACTCAGATAACAGAATTTCAATAAACAACCACATGTAATTTAAAAGTCATGTGAGTCATCAGATTTGTTGATTGTATTGTACTTATGTGATTTGCGTTCTTACAAAAGAAAATAATGAAAATTGTTGTTGGTAAGAGTATATTTGTACATACATAAAACAAAGTTTTCGAAATCTGTTTTTATCCTTTTTCATTGGGACTTGATATGAACCAAATTTCATTAATTTCCGCTTAGCCGTCACGTTCACATGTGACAAGTTATTGATATTTATATCGCACGCTTTTATTTTCAAACTGACGCATATAGAGTAGAACAAATTAATGAAAAAAAGATAATTAAATGTCTAACGATAATTGTAAAATTAACGGATCTTTTGGATTTTATGTGGAGTTTTCAATAGAATTTTTTTTACATTAATTTGTATTTGTTTATTTTTTGATATTTTAATATTACTAAAAGGCGTCGTTATATTTCTGATCTTTTTGTGTATTACATTTAGATTAAGCGGAATATGAGTATAAAAGTTCATTGAGCGAGAAAACAATCACAACACGTTGTGGTCACTGTAAAACATCCACATCGCGAAATTCGTGTTATGAGTTATAAAAACGCTCACGACGCGTTGTAACAACCATAGAAAGGCCATATAACGAAATTCGTGTCGTGGCTATCACGCTATGCGACCACAACGCATTGTGGCAATGCAATGAAGGAAAGCCATGACTCGTATGGAACCGTATTAGAATACGACACACAGTGATTTGCGATGTAGGCCCTACATTCTTACTAGTCTCGGATAGAGAAGGTTAGAAATTAAAAGGTATTAGAAAGACTCTATGGATGTCAATAAGAAATAGGCGAGATAGGTTGATAGGACACCTTTTCAGGCATGAAGATCTAGACAGAGACATATTAGAAACAGAAACGGGAGTTAGGAGAAATAGAGGTAGGTCTAAATTACATTACTATTCGCAAATAGTTAAGGATGTGGGTTCTAGTTTTAGGAAAACGCGAAGATTAGCTCAGGATAGGAAGGAGTGGAGGTGGGTGTCCAACCAGTCTTAAGACTGGCGACCTTATGTTGACGACGATGTAATTACTTATATTTAAAACAATCAACTTAGTTATGTAAGAAATTATTGAAAACAAATTATCAATCATTGATAAGCTACGTATAATTTAAATAAAATATTTAGGGAAAATGACAACATAAAATGATACACTCTCAGAATGATACAAGCAATGAAAGCGCATTGTGGTCGTATAGCAGGGCACGAATTTCGCTATGCGTACCGAGCGGCATGGCCTAGAGGTTTAGACCATTGCTTAGCATTCGGGAGGACGCCGGTTCGATTCAGGGTCCGTCTGCCTTGGTCCAAGTTTTTCTGTGGTTTCCTTGGATCACCTAGGCCAAGGCTGAGGCAGTAATATTCCGCAGATAATCTTTCATTCTCTTCTGTCTTCATTTCGTCCGTCTCAACTTTGTCACCCGAACCACCACCTACCCATTCCCACGATTCCTGAAAGCAGGCAGAAGAGGGCCTTCCGCCCTACCTTCCGGCATAGAGGGACTGCCCGCCCACCAGCATTACTGGCTGGTGGGAATGAAATACCCAAAAGTTTTTTTTTTTCGCTATGTGGTCTGTCTCTGATTACCACAACGCGTCTTGAACGTTTTCATAAGAGCCATAACACGAATTTCGCAATGTGGATGTTTTACAATAACCACAACGATCTTTAAGCGTAATTTTTGTATAATCTAGTGGCGAGCGGGAAACTGAACATCGTATTACATACAATCAATCACGAAATTCGTACAAATACCTTCTGTCATCTTTTCTTATAAATATAATAAGTAATATAAAACAATAGATGTAGTTTAAGTCTTTTGAGATATGAGAATTCGATCGAAATAAGCAGGACTTCCCATAAAATCTGGATAATCAGATTAAATAAAACATTCCATATGAACCCAAAATAATCCAAATCCAAACATGTTCGCAGTTAAAAATTTATTATATGTACTTACCTATTCGATTACTTTATTCACTGCTGGGTTGATGTCCTAAATATGTGTCAAAGATCATCGACAACTACATAAAACAAGTTTTTGTATCCTTTGGTAACAGTATTTTTTGAGTATTAGTTATGGCATGAAATGGTAGCAAATAAATAAACAAACAAACAAACAAGGTCACATTCCCATCTATGATATTAGTTAAGATAAATTAAATAAAATTTAACATTTTCTTTTCTAAGTAATTAATGATTTTCATAATGTCATATAAATACCTCTCATCACTATAAATAGAGTTTTAATATTGAAAACTTTACATTCTAATCCTACTTATGGTATCCCTAAAACTAGAACAATCCACATCCTTAAATATTTGCGAACAGTAATCTAATCTAGGTGTGCCTCTACCCCTCCTAACTCCCGTTTCTTCCTCTAATATGTCTCTGAGTGGACCTTCATGCCTGAGAAGATGTTCTTCTAACCTGTCTCTCCTTTTCTTATTGATTTGTTCTCTGTTCTCCTATTCTTTCTAATACCTCTTCATTTCTAACCTTCTCTATCCACGGTATCCTCATCATTCGCCTATAACACCACGTTTCGAAGGCTTCTAACCTTTTCTTTTCCGCCGC